CTGAGAAGACTTGCTCTGGGGACTTCAAGCGGGGGAGTCGAGGGAGGAAGATGGAGACTGCCCGGCACTGAGGAGGTCCCTGATGTTTTCTTCCAACTTGGAGACTGAAGCCTTGGCCCTACCTGATCCATGTCCAGATGATCTCGACTTATTAGATAAGTAATCCCCAACAATTCCTTTTTAAAGATGTATAAATATTTAATGGCAACGTAATTTTCAATTCCATCCATCTGAATCATGCCTTCACAATCAATTGTATAGTTCATTAGTTTTTGTACATAGAATGTATATAACATTCTTTCTCATCACTTGTAAATAAATATAATTTGTACATAAAAGTTATTTTAATCATGCCACCTATTTCTTTCATTATAAGCACAGGTTATGTTTGGTAATTAGTGAACAGATAAACACACAACAAGCCTTTGTGAGAAGTAATCCAATAGATGAATTAAGGACCAATATGTCAAATGACATAATTTGTTTAACTAATATTTTTATTAATTAATTCTGGATAATTATCATCAATAATTACCAGTGGCATCCCGTTATCAAAATCCACTAATCAAAAACCAATTTGATACGTAGCAATATATAATATAAAAAATCATAGAAAGTACTGAAGAGTGACGGAAAAATTATAAATAATAATGTCTGAAAACTATAATTATTTCACAGAAAACACACTATTTGAAGGATATTATATGGAATTTACTAAATGTAAACTTTTATAATTCAGTCAATGAATGGCAATGGCATGAAGGATGGACAAGCATTGAACTTACCCCTTTCGCTTCATGGTGGGGAAAGAACCGTAAAGGTAACTTTTTCTAGATTTTTTCATATATCTTAAAAACGAGGCGTCGTGAATGAAACATTTTTGTATAAAAAATTAACCCTTTCAAAATTTGAGATTTCACGATCAGCGATATGCAGAACCGAAAATCTAATAAAAAAAAATGTCTGTTCACCGCCTGCCGATTTTCTCCGCACCTACTGAAAATCTAAAACTGGAATCTAAAAGTTCATGGCGGTCGAAAAAACAGTATCGGTGTAGATTATGGTGCCTAAACGAATTTACCGATTTCAACGGAACTTGGCCAATGCCTTCTCCTTAAAGCCCTTTATATTTACGTATATAATATACTTCACCAAAAAGTAATTTCCTTTTAAGATCGCAGCCGAAATATCTGTACCGTAATTACTGTTGCGTCTAAACGAATGTACCCATATAAATGAAACTTTGTTAAAGTCTTCTTCTTCGGAGCCCTTTAAATTTATTTATGCAACACACTTCACCGAAAACAAGTTTGAAAAAAAAGTTACGGAAGGTGGTAAATTTAGACTTCAGAATAACTCAAAAAGTAAACACTTTTTGAGGATGTTGGTTGTCATATAAAAGTGTATCTAAATCTCCTAAAAAAAAAAAAAAAAAAATCGTTGAAATATGGTGATTTGGTGCAAAGATATGTTGTTCTAAATATTTTTCACACCTTTTGCTGGAAATCTAATCTAGGTATCGTTTGCTTTGGCTTTTTAATTTTTGGAACGTTTTAGTTCAACTGAAGTAGTCAAGGAAAATATATATATATATATATATATATATATATATATATATATATATATATATATATATATATATATATATCTTCATAAACAAAAATTATATTTTTATGAATAGTGGTTTATGAGAAATTAGCAGATTTTAATATTTTTAAACCTTTCGCGGATCATCATATACGCGGTTAGAAGTTACAAATGAAAAACGGATTGTCCTTCTATTTAATAGCATGAGAATGGCGAATTAATAGTATTCTATTATTAGTAGTTGAAGTAAAATGCGAGAATTCTACCATAGAATTGGTTTTTCTGAAGGATGGCAAAAAATAAAATAATACGATATAAAAAATCAGTCAAACTGTACACGTATTTAAACACACGTTTTGGAAATATTGTTAGTATCGAAAATCACGGAATGCATTACATACTTTGTCTAAGTGCCGATTTTGTTTCTAATTAGTTGATAAAAATAATAACAATTGTTTCTTGAGTAAAAACGATGTACTTACCAAAATATATATTTCCTGAAAACTATGAAACCTCATAAAAAATACCATATGTAGACGGAATTTAAATTAAAACGCTGCAAATTATTTACAAGTTACTTGCAAGTTTATTATTACCAAACAGTTATTTATCAAAAGTAATACTGTTTTTCTTGACTACTTCAGTTGAAGTAAAACGTTCCAAACATTAAAAAACCAAAGCAAAGAATATCTAGGTTATATTTCCAGCAAAAGGTGTGAAAAATATTTAGAACACCATATCTTTGCACCAAATCACCATATTTCAACGATATATTTTTTTTTTTTTTTTAGGAGATTTGGATAAACTTTTAAATGGCAACCAACATCGTCAAAAAGTGTTTACTTTTTGAGTTATTCTGAAGTCTAAATTTACCACCTTCCGTAACTTTTTTTTCAAACTTGTTTTCGGTGAAGTATGTTGCATAAATAAATTTAAAGGGCTCCGAAGAAGAAGACTTTAACAAAGTTTCATTTATATGGGTACATTCGTTTAGACGCAACAGAAATTACGGTACAGATATTTCGGCCGCGATCTTAAAAGGAAATTACTTTTTGGTGAAGTATATTATATACGTAAATATACAGGGCTTTGACGAGAAGACTTTGGCCAAGTTCCGTTGAAATCGGTAAATTTGTTTAGGCACCATAATCTACACCGTCACTGGTTTTTCGGCCGCCATGAACTCTTAGATTTCTAGTAGTTGCGGAGAAAATTCGAAGACGGTGAACAGATAAATTTTTTTTATTAGATTTTCGGGTTCTACATATCGCTGATCGTGAAATCTCAAATTTTGAGGAGATTAACATTTTGACCTATTACAATGATTCAGTATTGAAAATAATAAATAAACTTTCTGGAAGGAAATTTTATCAGCTTTAATTTTTTATACAACAATGTTTCATTGACCACGCCTCGTTTTTAAGATATATCAGAAAATCTGCAAAAAGTTACCTTTACGGCGCTTTCCCCACCATGAAGCGGAAGGAGTAGGGGCGGGGACTTTTACGATGAGTATATATATATATATATGAGTATATCCTTCATTCCATTGCCATTCATTGACTGAATTATAAAAATTTACATCTCGTTAGTAAATTTCCTATAATATCCTTGAAAAAGTGTGGTTTCCGTGAAATAATTATAGTTTTAGACATTGATATATATAATTTTTCCGTCACTCTTCAATACTTTCTATGAATTTTATATTATATATTGTTTTTCACACAAAAATATTATTACCATCCACCTGAAACTTCGTAAATAGTTTCATTTCACCGTAAGCTACAATTATTTTTATCGATTTTGTGATAAAATTATCTTACGATTCAAGTAGAAAGCAAATGGGCATTTACTAGTTTTTAGTATGTAATTAAATAGACATGTTTTCATTGAAAATAGATTAACTTTATATCAATTAAATATATATATATATATATATATATATATATATATATATATATATATATATATATATATAATGTAAAATTTATACATAATAATGGAAAAACATTTTTTTTTTTTTTTTAAATGGTGATAAAACTTATATTGGAGGCCATTTAAGTAACCACTTACGGCGAACAACCCAAGCAAACTATTGCCATGCATTCATTTCAAATAGGTCCCTTACATTGAGGACAAACCATTTTTGTCTACCTATCTTCCCTCCCGTGCAAAACGAATATTCGTTTTATTTTTCCAACACTATTTGTTAATTTTTTAATTCTCAAAATTTATTTTATGGATGACTCCATTTGCAGTCTTCCTTTCAAAGTGGGCTCACGTAACGATTTGTCTAATCCAAATAAATAATTTCTCCATTTCATCTTCTTTTCCCGTTTAACTAAGCTATTAACAATATCATGCTGTTTATACCACAATGATTCAACATTCCTAAGAAAAATTAGAGAGACAACCTCCTTGTTTTTCTTGATGTTGTGTACACATGACACACTTGATCAAAAGTTACTGTGCCGTCTTTAAATAAAGATAAAGTATATTAAATAATATGCTCCTTGCATCTTTTCTTGCATCTTCTAACTCCCATAACAATTTATGGATTTCTTCGGACGAATATTTTTTTTGGTAGTTGCAATAATTAAAGTTAATGCCTGAATTGAAAACACCACTAATTAACTAACAAATACACTATTAGAAATCAATTCCTGGATTATCTGAAGTTCCAAAATCGAATCGAAGTTTCAAAGTAAGAAAGAAAACACTGGAATACTGAATTCACCACCCAGAAGAGTCGCGTAAACACAATGGGGTGAGGGATAGCCCATAATGACTTTCAATAACTCCCATTAATGATATAAGCCCGAAAATGGAGCGCTAATGAGCTTAATTAGCCTGGCTATGTATGATATTTATTTATATGATAAAACTTGGCCAAAGAGTAACTTACATAACAGTAAATTAATATTTAACATATCGTGGGGTGTCACTCCCCAGTGTGTCGTTCTAGGGTTAGATTTAATGTGATTTATTAAATTATTCATCTTAGTAAACTTTATATTTATCCGTGTATTTTTTTATGTACTCAATTTGAATGCCGAGGAAACGTTACTTTTTTACTCGACGAGCGGTTTTTTTTTTACCAGCATGTTTACTTATTTTTCCTAAAAACAAAATTTCTGTGTGAAGATACAAGCCAATAGATAAAAGAAATTCTTCCATGGTATTTCGAGATCTGTTATGCAGGTAGACATACAGACGTTGCTCTTTCCAGATTGTAGAATACTTCTCTGTTGTATCTTTGTACATTTATTTTCGATACTCTTACTTAATTCTATGCTCATTAATACAGTTGTGTTCGTACAAAATCTTTGACTAACATACTATGGAGTTATAATTCTTGTTTTATTGAAAAATTTTATCAACATTTACTAATAAATTAATTATTACTTGTTCAGATTCGCTGTGTGGAACACAATGATGGGTACCTCCTTACTTGCCATGCCATGGGGTATGGAGAGAGCAGGCCTCGTTGCGGGACCTTTCTTAATGATTGTTCAAGGAGGAGTCTGCCTTTTCACTGCCTATCTCAACCTGAGGACAGAATCTCACCTTGGTAATTTAAAAATATTTTAATTGGAAATACACTTTCATTATCTATATTCCCCTCATTTGCAAGCATTAGCTCTTGAAATGTGTAACAAAGCTACCTTGTAAAAACAAATTACACCATGACTGATTATTATTGCCCATATTATTTTTTTTAGTTTTCTGAGAGTCTGAAGGTCACTTAAAAGAAATGATATAACATTCACTTCACTTTATTTAATATATTATTTCGATAAATATAAATAGGAATAAACCCTGCTATGTATTGTAAAGACCACCGGTGGAATAATTAGTTTAAAGGTATAAATAAATAAACATCAGAAGTGCTAACATCTGGCGGTTGGGTACCTGAGGGGGGGTAACGACCCACGAGGACAACCTTTTGTAAGTGGTAATAAAAACCCTTAAGAATCACCGACCAAGACCGACAACTGAGTGTTTAAACAGGATCCCGAAAGACCTTTTCACACCTTCCACCAGAAATACCTAAATCTGTACCTGCTGCTTTACCATGGCCTGGGGAAGAGGGCGTGGTCATCCCTTAGGTTAGGAATATTCAGCCAATCAGGAAAAAGACTACCAAAAAAGAGGGGGATGAAGAAAGGTGGGAAATAGAGAATTGGGACTGAACACTTCTTTTTGGGACTCAGAGGAGGGAACTTCCTTTTGGGACTCAGAGGAGGAGACTTCTCTTTGGGACTCAGCTGAGGAGAGTTCAAGTGGGGGAGTCGAGGGAGGAAGACGAAGACAGCCGGAGAGAGCAGATGGACGGACTAGACGCTGAAGGAGAGCAGAGACAGGGAATCCAGATATGACGGCTAGAAACACCTAGAAACACTATGAAGGACCAGCTAAGTGGTAACAAGCATTTAGTTATACTAATGTAAATTTGTGTTGGCAACCATACATCATTAATTAATATAATCAATATAACACATCTAACTCTAATCAAGCATTCTCCTCTAGTATGATTCTCAACTATTCATTATGTATATAGGTTTAGTTATTATTTTGTATATAGATGTTTTTGATTTTATTTAAGCTTGTAAATATAATAGTTAGTAAACCAACGTAGTACTTTTACCATCCACCTTGCATGCCACCAGTTAGATATAGAACAAATAGTAAATTTAAAAACATGATACCTTTAGAAAGGAAATCCAATAAAAATTATATGGTTCAATCTAGGATACTACAGTAGGGGGTCTGTGGTATCTAACATTTCAATACAAATATAAGTATTAATTACATTTTAATACAAATAAATGCGATTCCTGGAACCCCTTACTCGCCGTAGAAACGCGAGGCCAGGAACATAGCAACCCTTACAGTTTTAATATTTATTCAATTTTTAACAACTTTCGAGAATTTTGCTCATTCTCGAGTTATCACAATAGAAAAAAAAATCAATGAATTCCAAAATAAACAATAGTAGGAAAGGTAATGCCGAGTTTGAATTGACAAGCATTATACAGAATGCCAGGAATATGGTAATTCGTATTTTTGTAGACCAGAAATAAAATATAACATAATAATATAATGGAAAGATTTTGGAATTAATTGAATTTTTGTTTCGGCTTTATTAACTTGAGAATGAGCAAACTGCTCGAAACATTGTTAAGAATTGGATTAATATTAAAACTATAACAAATTAAAATATTGAAAGCTATACATCGATGTTACCAATACATCAAATACGTTGGTTGAAAGATGAAAACAAGAAACCTTTTTTTTAAAGACCATGGAAAAATCATGGTGGTTACCTGAAAACATTGTAACTAGTCTTTAAAATCCAATTAATTAACAACGTAAGATTTTCAACGAAGAAGATTAACTGGAAAGCCTAACCGATGGCATTTCTCAAGAATAACCTCCTCAGAGATAATTTTCCACAGAAGAATATTTGTAAATATCAAAAGAGACGGTATACGCAACAACGTCACTACCAACGAATTAGGTATAGTATCAGTGAAAGAAAATATATAAAAGCTTCAATACAGATAGTTGAGATATGTAAAGAGAATAGCCAACAATTGAAAGGCTAAAACGTAAATAGAGGTATAATTAGAAGGACGAAAATCTATTGGACGAACCAGCCTTACGTTAGGAAACATCTCTGAGAAAAGAAAGATGGAAAAAATGTGTCGAATGGTGTGTCCAATAAAGGCTAAAGAACAAGATAAAGAAGAGGAATCAATTATTTTTGACCGTAGATGGGCATAATCATAAACAACGGTTACGATTACAATGGCCTTGATTACGTGATTACCGTAATCGGGTTCGGATTACGATTGTAATCAGCTAATTGTGTCATATTTTTGCTATATTTATAGTCCTATTGAATGAAGTATAAAATTAAGTTTTATTTTCTGGTTTTAAAATTTTGAAGTATGTTCCTACTGCTTCATGGAGCAGTTAAAAAATACGTTTAAAAACAATGCTTCTCTACCTTCGGTAGTGAGGAAGCAAAATGATGTTTTATAATTTACTGAATAATTCATGAAAAGAAATTGTTTTATATTTGAATTTCAGATTTTAAAAATACCTATACATAGTCGGTTTATTGTAAAAATTCATCAAGTAACATTTCATAAAGTTTTCGATACATTTTCCATTTGTGAAATCAGAAAATTATATTAGTTGCAGCAATCACAACTAGATAAAAAAGGGATGTCATTGTGGTGCATTTACTGTTTTTTATCGAAAATCATAAAACCGTTCTTAACAGTTCAGTTCCATTAAAAATGTACTTTTTTATGTGACTTTGTGTAAAAAACTGATGTTATATTCTTATTTATTTTTTGAGAAGTTTCAATAAATGAAAAGTTTTTAAATGTTTGTAAGTATTAAGTTGAACCAAAAATAAAGTGATATCTTAATAATTATATTTAATAATACTACAAGAGTATATGAGTTAGTAAACAAAATATATATATATTGCTGTTATAGAAGAAAAGCGTCCAAACCAAAAAATTAATTTTGTTTCAACTTTTGCTTAATGATAATTGTGTTATTGATTATGATTTGACAGAAACGAAAAATCTATTGTTTTGTTCTTCCAAGGAAGCAAACAATATTTAGAAATAAATATAGATTTATTCCCAGTTTGTGCATTTTAATTACTTTTTTTTATTTACAATTGCTTATGACTAAATAGAATTATTTTAATATTAATGAAATTCATTTTTTTTTTTTTTTTTTCTGCAGGATCTCCCACATGGGAAATTTCAGAATTAACAAGAGCATTACTGGGGCCAGTAGCTGAAGTCATTGCCAAGATCTTTTCCTTTGTCGTACTCCTTGGGGCAAATATTGTATATTGGATCCTCATGAGTAATTTTCTGTATTTTACCATCAATTTCATCACAGGTAACCTATTTACTATTTATTAAGATTGGTAATGTTTAAATATTGACTAATAGTTCACTTTTTATTAAAATACTGTGCAAATATTCCAAAGGATAGAAGAAATTTGCATTCATGGCAAAATTATATGTTAAACCGTGATTCATACTTAATTAAAGCATTGTGATAAAACTGCATAAGTAAAATTTTGATATCGTTGATGCAGTTGTAGTAACTTTTTTAGACCTTCCGTGTGGATTAATTACTTCCAACTTTGTATTATCTATTTATTAAATCAGTTATTTCAATATTAATAATCCTTTTTATAAATCATAAAAGTTGGTTAGAACAATGAGTAAAGAACTCTTATCTTCTGGACCTGGATCTGAGTCTGAATGTAGTAGGTAATTTATCTGGTTGCAACAGCTACAAAGTGGGTATTCTTTATTAGACTAAAAAACAGACCGTTGAAACCCATCACTGCAAAATCACCTCCTTTCACTAACGTTAGTCTGGAACTGTATTCTCTTATAAAGTACTGTTTCCAATAATCCTCTCTCCAACACCATCATATAATTATCAAAATAACATTTTTTTTTGTGTGTATTGTTATGTATTATTTGTCTGTAGGTATTTATTTATTAGTACCTATTTCCGTATATTCCTAAGGTTTTGTACATTTGCCTTTTTTGGTCTCTAGTAGTGATATTTAGCATTATCGATATTCTAGCACTTATCCATCATTTAATAATGAGCTGATTTGAGATGCCGAAAAGGTAATAAAGCTATTATCATTTGTTTCTTGACGAATGCTTTTGATTCCGTCTCAAAAATTCTGATTTTTGCATTTCTGTCACCAATTATAATCTTTATATCATTTCCAAAACAACTATCTATGGATCTTTTGTGTTTGATATATAAGGCAGGATGGATACCCTGTCCAGATATGCCTATTCTCCCCTCCTCCCCAGGCCAATGGCACCTAAACCTTCTCCTAACCTTCCTAAGATATTTTATTCCTCTCTTCTTCATAAAACCATTGTAAGCAAAAGTGGAATTTGAATATTCGTAGATTATATACCATTTCACATCCTTTTGCAATCCTATGGTCTGTTCCATCATTCCAGTTGTCTTTTGATTTGAAGCCTTTCATTTTGAAAATCCATAACCCCATCAGACTGGGAACGCCTCAAAAACTGAAAACCTCGTCAACAATTGCCCCCCTCAGTAATTTTGCTGACCCAACTTGCACCATAAAACCCCCTTCTGGGCTCTTCTGCCCCAGTCATTATCGTCAACAAAAAGGAAGATATCAAATCGATGGAATGAAATAGGTTCCTCCCAACCTCTTTGGTACGAATACTTTTTATTTATTTTTTTTTTTTTTTTATAGTTCATATTCATTTAACCTGCTGCTTTTCAATAAAGGATGAAATTTCTTTATTTTACTTTGAATCAGATTTTACTTTTTCTATGTTCACTCTAGTTTAAAAATGTCAATAAGATTTACATCAATATTTTACACATAATTTTTTATCATATCTCATTATGTATGTTCAAAAATGTGCCTTCTCAATCAATATTAATACTTTTTTGTCACACTCCGCAGATTGTCATTACCCATATCATGACTAATACCTTAATATCCTGTCAGGTTAACTCCCAATCTCTTCTAGCATCAATTTATTACTATATTTACATATGTATTTATTACTTAAGGACAACTGAAGCTATCAAAACTATCTCTTACTTTTCATTGCATTTATACTGGCATATGTATGTGCTTGTCAAAATGTTTTTAATTCATTTGTAGAGGTTTGTTAAATTTAAAAGCAGAATTCTTACTTGATTAATCATTGTATTTTAATTTATTTTTTAAATTAGATTTCTTTTAATGTTCTTTCTACTACCTATTGTTGTTCTGGTCTCTGTTAAGGATTGTTCTAGCTGTTTTATTTCTATCCAGTTAAATTTTGTTCGATGCTTAATAATATGAAAGACAACCAGTGACCACTTTATTTTATTTTTTTTTAATTAATCAATAATTAACATTTTCTTTTTCCTCTCACTAATTCGGTTAATAATACATAAATAATACAAAGAATATATATGAATGTTTTAATTATGCTTACTGTCACTATTTGACTATGAATCTCTCATTATATAAAAAAGTTTTTAGTGACTGTATAATATTTTATGTTAATTTTAAAAAATCATTTTAGCACATTATTACTAGCTCTCAAAGAAAGACATGACATTTAATTATTGAATATTAATTATTAATTTCAGTCGGATATTCGTCCGAAGGTGGTAGTTTGATTTTATCTGGATGACAGTAGTTATTTTGCGATCTTGACATTTCACCTTGAATACAATATATTAATTATATTATTTATTGTATATTACATTATATTATACATTATTTTATTTATATTATATTGTGATATAATTATAATTATTATGAAATAGAAAGGAAAGAACAATATAACGCACAGTGAAACTATTAGAAATAAAAGTCGCAAATTGATGTTGGGTTTATAAGAAGCTGGACAAGTTGAATATATATTATGGTTACAAATAAGCAATAACAATAATTGTAATTATATATTAATATCAATTGGCAATAAGGCGCAATGTATAATATAGATTTTTAAAAAATTGAAAATTTTCCGAACTGTGTTTTTGTTCCATTTATTTTAAGTTCATGAAAAATAAAACAATCTGAACTACAGAATACATGTAAATTGTAGTTATACGATGTGGACAAAGAGTAGTACAATTAAATGAACAGTTGTATAATTAGTAAAATGGGGTTGGTTCTTTTTAAGACAGAAAGAGGATACACTCCTAGTCTCTGTAAATAAAAATTATTGTTGAATTTCTATTACATCTATTCAGTTTAATTGTACGTATTTCACACTTTTTCATTTACTTCTTTCACCAGAAGCCAGGTTTTTTTTTTTGGTTTTTTTTTGTTTTTTTTGTTTTTTACTAAATAAGGTTTTCTTTAGAGTAGTGTTCCCCAATTGATATAAATACTAACAAAACATTTTTAAATGCTTTGCAAAATCATTCTTGTGGTATTTATTTTGAATGCCCTATTATTATGTTTTAAGATGATAACACATAAATCTTCCAGTTTTGTAATATTTTTAAACTTTTTGACAATTTTCCATTCTATTTTTTAACAAATTAATGTTTATTTATTTAATAAATTGTTACTGAAAAATAATTAATAGTCAAATCTATAAAGCTACTAATGAAAATGCTTACTACTTTTTGGCATTCAAAATTATGACTGAATTAGTTTTTAGAAATAATTTATTCATAATTTTGAAAGTAAGTAACAAGTATTAATAATACATATATTAATATTTTTTTAATCTATATCTGTTTTGAAAAAAAATTAAACAGCTACATATTTATTAAATGTAATAAATCTGATTGGATTTCGTTTTTTCTTTTAATTAGGAGTAAGAGAAGATGTAATTCTATCAGATACTGTGGTCAGCAGTGTCAATTCCAGCTTAGCAGGGGGTAAATATTTTATTCATTTTTTTTATTTTCTTTACCTTCATATATTAATATAATATGTATATATTCACATAATAATCTCCTACTTCATTTAAAAAAAAAAGATAAAAAAATAAAAGTAATGAATTATTTTTTAAAAATAATTCCTACCAATTATCATGTATACCATCACTAAATAAACTGTTTTTGTTTTTTTCAGCTTTATGTCCATTATTTAAAGAAGAAATAATGAATGAATCTCTGAAAGAAATTTCTCTCTATCAAAGGATATGGGACCTGCAAAATACAGTTCCAATATTTTTAGTTCTAATTATTGGACCATTACTAAACTTCAAATCACCAACATTCTTTACCAAGTTCAATTCCTTAGGTACTATTACAATATTTCTGAATATAAAACAACAAAAAAACTTTAGATATTGATTAATGATTTCCATAGTTGGATTAATAATATAGTCAGATAATATTTTCAACATTTTTAATTAATAAAATTTAGGAACTGTGCAGTAGTTCAGAGTTTTACATTATATGAATTAATTTTTGTACGACTTTAATTTTATTCTAATTTGCTGTTCATAACCTCACAGGAACTCTATCTGTTATGTACATCATTCTGTTTGTCATCATCAAGTCTTCTTTCTGGGGTATCAATATCGATCTAAAAGATGTGACCAGTATACATTACACTCCTCTTATCAAAGGAAGCTTTCCAGCTATGTCAGGAATGCTGGCGCTCTCTTACTTTATTCACAATATTATCATTACGCTGATGAGAAGTAATGCAAATCAAAAAAACAATGTGAGATTTCATCATTAAATCCCTATATTTTTTTTATTTATCTGTTAAAATCCATGATAATATTGCTTTTAATTTTCCTTTTATTGACATAATGTATACTATTACTAATAGTTATTATTATTAATTTTAATAACATTTTTTTATTATTTTGCAGGGTAGAGATTTGACTATAGCCTACATTTTAGTGATGCTTACATATCTTAGTATTGGAGTAGTGTTTTTCTTGGGGTTTCCTTTGGGGAAGTCTTGTATTCAAGATGTAAGTTAATTTATCATAGGATATGATATTAATACTCATACTATAACTGAAACTGATATAGCATAGTTATTTGCTGAAAGATGTTCAAATTATCCATAAGTTTGATTCTAAGGAAGAGAAATACACATTCTAAATTTTATAGAATTATTATTGCTGCTACAAGCAAATTTTTTTTTTAATTCAGTCAATTATGTAAAATTGGGACACATCAATCCACACTATTATCTTCCAATAAAACAGAGTTCTTAATAAAGCTTTAAAATAATTGTATACGTAGCACTATGTAGCAATAGAGTTTTATTTACAATAAAACAGCTACCGCAAAATTTTTATAAGACCTTTTGGGATTTGTATAAAATCTTGGGGAGAACTTTATTTTAACTTCTAAGAAACAATAATTAGGTACATATTTTCTTAAATTTTCATACACCAACTTAAAAAAAAATTATATATATGTTATATTGAGGGAGTGGGGTAGCATAGTGGTAGGGCACTGAGCTTCCAATGCAAAGGTCCTAGGTTCGAACCCCGGCTCATGGCAGAAAATTTATTTATCTGTTTCATTGGCCGTGGGGCAACCCTGGGTAGGAAGTCCCTCCTGGGGCACACCCAGCCTCTATAAAGTGGGTACCTTTAATTAAATATTTAATTAAGGGGGAAAACCTGGCAGTTGAGCGTGATCTCGGTCAAATCACCTCCTTGCACAACCGTTGACCTAGAAACAGTGCTTTCCCTAAATAGTACTGAACCCCAGACCCTTCATGGGTTGTAGTGGTACAGATTTTTTTTATATGTTATATTGTTCTACAAGCAATATGCTAACAACCTAAACCAAAAAGAAGTATTAAGACCTCTTATTAAGAAAATGTTATATTTTGAAAAATCACAGTCCTAATAATAAATAATTTAAATAAAATAGACAAATATTTTTGAACCCAGAAGAGTATTCTTTACGCGAATAGGTTTTGCGTGTTAAAAAATTATAAATAAAATTAGATAAGAATACAAAAAATTAATAAATTGATTGTATTGAATAAATCAATAGTTAGAATAAATAAGGCTAAAATAAGGATGGAGAGAGAATAAAATAGTTTTTTAGTGAAAGAAAATAAAAAAATAAAGAGGTATATTCATTTGCATTGTTTAAAAAATACACTGATTTTGTACAAAAATTAATGTCCTTACAAACAATTAAGTTAGATTCATTCCCTTCAAATGAATGTAAAATAATTGTTAATGAATAAAACACATAACATAATTCTTTTTTTTTTTTTCTTTTTTTTTCAATTATTGAGCATACCTCCCAACCAATTTCTGTTGCAATAGGTTCTTTGGTCATTATCTATATATTTTTAATGTTTGTGTCGTATTCTTTCACTCTGATTATATAACGTATTCATCTTTTATATCTTAAATTTCAGAATTTACTCAATAACTTTGCTACATGGGATATAATGACTGTAGCTGCAAGAGCATTCCTACTATTCCAGTTGATGACTGTATTTCCTCTGATCTCCTACATGCTAAGGGTCCAGACAATGGTAGCACTCGTAGGGAACCCCTATCCAAGCAGAGGCCACATACTCCTCTTCAACGCCTTTGTCATCACTGTCTGTGTCTTGTTTGCAGTATTTCTTCCCAAAATTGGAACCATAATTAGGTAATTTTTAAAATGAAATGATTGTAAATTGATCTGTATAATTTTTTAGTTTAGCAAAGCATAATTTAAACTTAATTCAAACCTCAAGAACAGCTGATATTTTCATATAAATTCATCTACCAACTAACTTAATTTAAATGGGTCAGTTGGCTGTTTTGTAATGTGCAATCAATTAGAAGACATTCATTAGCAATAATTTGTGATTTATTATAAATTTGTGAGAATTGAATTATGTGGTATTATAATTTATATTTTTCATTCTTGGTCTGTAAAATAAACCTTACCATATGTTACTCTTTAAATTGGAAATGTATATATATATATATATATATATATATATATATATATACTCCACTATCAATATTCAATCAATGTGACAACCAATTACTGACTCCGAGCAGATCCTTTCATCCTCTAAGCCAACTCTCAGTCAGGTTCCATGCAGATCTTCATCAAGCAATATTTTTGGTATCACTACCCTGTTGACATGGCTCGCCTAGTGCAGCCTACTGAACTTACCACTTCTTGCTACATCAGGCTCATTAAGTAAAGAGTATTTCCCCTGTTCTTGCAGCTTCTCCATGTTGGACCATTCTTTACTGTATCATGGATGTGCCAAAGAATTTTTCTCTAAAAAGTTAGGAGGTCCCTTTAATCAGTCTTTGAGAATACCCATGTTTCTGCTTTGTAGGTAAGCACTGTTCTGATTGATGTATTATACAGCCTTGTTATTGTGGATCTTGATAATACACAACTTCTCAGATGCCAATGCAGTCCAAAGGGCACCTATTAGCTGGTGTTGTTCGCCAATAAGTCATTATTTATATTTATCTGTAAAGCCTGATTAATAACCTCATCAATTCATTCGAATGAGTAAGGATGCTGGACAAAATCTCTTTTATGACCTCTAGCTTGACTGGCAATCAATTACTTGATTTTAAATGTGTTTACAGCCAGTATTAGCTTTGTGCCAGCATTCTCAAAAGCAAAAAAGGCTGCATTCTAGTTGCAAAAGTGTAAAAAATAAAAGAAACTCAACCTTATTTTTTTTTTCATTTGTAGTGTAACCATTCATTCTGAAGAACCTTGTCCTTTTTTAAATATGAATTTTCAAAAAAAACTAAAAGTTGTTTAGGCAATTTTTCCCCTTCTTATGAATAGGACATAAAACCATCTTATTTCAAGTTGTTGGAATTCTTTCCTCAATCCAGATTGTACAAGAAGACTGTTGAAGAGTAGATATTCTTTCCCTTTTTTGAACAATTCAGCAAACAAGTTGTTAAAGCCGGGCACCTAGTTGATTTTTAACTTGTCAACAGCTGCACACAATTACCCGTCTAAAGTTCATCTTCAGGAGTTTGATTAAGGACAACTTCTTCCTCTTGAGTTCAATGTGCCTGATTTTCTTTAAGGAGGTGGTCAAAGTGGTGATTTCATCTCAAATTATTTTTGCCTTCTTGTTCAGTAACTTTTCATCTAAATCCATACAGGCTGAGATTCAAGGCTAAAAAGATTTTGGCCACTGTTCACACCACTTTTGGTAACATTTATGACACTCATTACTACTTCATAATCTTTCTATTTCTTTGAGCTCTTAATTTTCCCATTCTCTTTTTTTTTTTGTATTTCTTCTCTTCTGAGCTTTATAAATATCAACTGAGACTTGAGCCCTTTTCTTCTGAAGCACAGATTTATAGGCTTCATTCTTGCGACTGGTAGCCTGGCTAAGCTCCTTGTCGCACCGATAAGAAAGTGATCAATCTGGATCATTGTGTTTCCATCGGGAAACGTGCATCTACCAAGATGGAATCCTTTGTGAGGAAATAGGCTGCTACCAACTACAAAGTTTTCTGATGCACAGAAGTTAACAATTCTATGGCTGTTGCCCTTACACGCATCGTGTTGACTAAGTTTATCTGTTGTTGGGAAGTAGGGAGCTTCTTTGCCAACATTTGCATTAAAATCGTCTGTAATTATTATTATTATGTCTGAAGGAGGACATATATCTAACATGAGTCCACTATTAATCTTATGTGATTGTACTAAGTGGCTTTATTTTAGCCATACATAATTAATGGCTAAGTTCATACAATTTTATGATTGCTGTAAGTATGTAGTACTTAATTCTACATAATACACTGTAAATTTTATTGCCGACTAAACCAAGAAAACAAAAATGAGGGTTATGTGATTGGGCTGTCCGTTAAAAGCTATGTAATGATTTTTTAATCGAACGGCTTGATCGATTTTAAATTTTGACAGATGAAATTTTTCGGTGAGATCACCTGAGTGTTTTGAAACAATTTAAGCAAAAAAACATGATCTGTGAATGAATAAAATGTGTTTAATTGATTTGCTAAAGGGTATTCAACCAATTTTTGAGCGAATGGCTGGACCAATTTTTAAGTTTGATGGCTTAAATTATTCATTATTAGGTCATATTTTATTTATGATTTTTTAATTATTAACCATTTATTATAAGTAATTCAATTGTTATATTTTGTATAATTTATTATTTAAATAATGATACCTCTTTTAATAATCAGCTGTCTTTTTATTTGTATTTTAATACTTTGAAACATAAATTTTAATACTTTTTTTAAGTCACACTATAAGATATGAAAATTCAATATAAAATATAAATTACTGACACATTTCAGGTTTACTGGAGCTCTGAGTGGCTTGGTTCATGTCTTTGCTATTCCTTGTCTCCTAAGGCTTGCTACCCTCAAGAAAAGTGGCAAGATATCTACACCTTCCTATACAATGTACATTCTTATCATAATATATGGAGCAGCAAATCTCATAGGCCAGTTCTTTGTCAAGGATCGTTAAATATCGCAACTAATAAGATATTTTATTTAATAACTATCAAGTTATACTTGAATTGTATATATTGTTTATAGAATTTATTATTTATATTCTAAATAAAACAAATTTTTAGTGTTTTTAAATTTTGAAAAAATCATAAATTTAAATACAAGTTGTTTTGTCTGTGTTTAATGTGATTTTGATGTTTCATATTAAAAAATAGTTAAAATAGAACTTCATTTAGAATAGATTAGGCATAGAATTACAATTTAAGTATGTAAAATACTTTTTTATTTACAATTGCAGCTATATTTTTAAAGCATTTTAATGCAATGTTTTTTTTTTAGTTTTAAACACAACTGTATTATTTTATTTGGTATTACTTTAAATTTATTATTCTAGGTCAATAATAAAAGCTAATATATTAATTAATATACAATACATGTATATAATAATGTTACTGTGACAATAAATTATAGAGTAATATTAAGGTTGTAAAGTAATTTCAGTTAATCTGAGTTACTTTCTTTTAATAAGAGAATTTTAGTTCCAGAAATTATAGGATACAATCTTAATTATAAGCTTTGCGCTAATCACTATGGATCATTATTATAAAATAGTGATTAGAATTTCTTTACTAAATAAGTTTTGCATTATCAGCAAATAATCCTTTGGTATTTTAAAAATTACAATACAGCAGAATGGAATTTTTAACTATTACTTATAGCACTAAAGTTTTAATTAGGTATGTACCTGTTAAGTCTTAAATTAATTACTAAATCTCTGTGATTTAACTGTTCTGCATTCCTCAAGTCTTAGAATATTGTTTTTTTTATATTTTGCTTTTTTTATTTTCGAATGAAATCTTTTTATCTTGTCATCATTTCATTTAACCTAGAAGTAGGTAATTTAATTTAAAATATTTATGTTCCGAAATTGTAATGTTTTGTACATTATCTAATTTATCCATTTAAATTTTTATATTTAAAAAAATCAAAGTATTTTTTGTTTAAATAAAATTGTTATTAGAGAGTTCAAATGATTTAATTTTCTTAAAAACCTATTTTAAACTTATAATGTTAATTATAAAAGATGCTGGGAGATTATATATATACACATTATATTATATTACATTATACTATATTATAATTGTAATGCAATTGTATATTATCGAATCTGCAAAATAAATTATTAGTTATATGCTGATTCCTAAACAAATATAATTGAAATTTAAAAATTTATAGTGCCGGATATACAAGGTGTCCCGTAACTAGAGGGAAATTTGTATATGAGTGATAGCAAACCTCAAGGGCTACAAAAAAGTGTATATAAATAATAGGCCAATTCTCAGCAGAAAAGTAGCGAATCCAAGTTCTGTGCTTCTTGAAATAGATCATGTTTTTTGTTGAGTTGGAAGAGAAAATACTTAAAGTTAAAGAAATATTTAATTTAAGTAATTACCAATTTCTTTATTGTAAACAATACAATTTGACGTTTGTCATTGTTAAAATCAGTTAAAGAGGATTAAACAAAGCTAAGTTATATTTTTAAAAAGTCATAAATTATTCACATTTTTTTTTTCATCGTAATTCAACTATACTACGGCTACTCCACTTTTAGAAAAACTACCTCGTTTAATTATACTTGTTTTAATTAAGCTTATAATAATTAAATTGAGGTTTATTTGGGAAAAAATTGAGATTCACCTCAGGTTGTGTAAAAAAATGATCTGATTTTTATCCTGTCACCTATAAGTACCCATCTTTTGAACAATAATGGCCACAATTAACTGTTGCACAGCTTTTATTTCTTGTTTTTCCATGATTTGAGATGCATTACAGCAAACGTAACTACCTAAATCCACATTTTATTAATGAATTTCTTTTTTTTAAAGAATGATTTTTAAATTATTTTTTCTGATAAATTGGTTATAAAATTAGTTTTTTCTCCATTATAGGAAGTGATCTGTATTCATGAGTGACAAAATAAAAGTTTCTAGTTTAGGTCTCATTTAGGTTTAAAATAAAAAAACCTGCCAATTATGTCAATTATTTTAATGAAAACGTTAATATTAGGATCAGGAACATTTAGTTTGTCACTAATAATATGTATCAATTCCTATAATAGAAATCTGGGTGAAAAACACAATTTATAACCGATTTATTGGAAAAAATCACTATTTTCAAATTAATTTTTTTTTTTTTTTTTCCCTTCCGCAAAGCTCCTGGACATGACCTAATAACATCCCAGATCTTGAAACTTCTTCCTCGAAAAGCCATCCTATACCTTACTTTCATATATAATGCTGTACTCCGACCCACATATTTTCCTGATCCTTGGAAAATATCTATTGTCAAAATGATCCACAAACCCAAAAAGCCACCAGAATATCCATCCTCTTACCGTCCCATCTCTCTGTTACCCATCATGGGAAAAATCCCGGAAAAACTAATCTTAAAACGCCTGTACCCAATCCTAGATTCTAATCACATAATCCCAGATCACCAATTTGGATTCAGCTCCTCCCATTCCACTATACAGCAATGCCATCGTGTGGTAGACGTAGTATCCTCTGCATTGGAGCGCGGTATGTACTGTACGGGAGTCTTTCTCGATGTTGAACAGACGTTTGATAGAGTTTGGCACCCGGGACTGCTGTGCAAACTCCGAAAATTCCTACCATCTACCAACTTCCTCATTATCCGTTCCTACCTTACTGATAGATACTTTAAAGTAAATCACAACAATGTCTATACATCCCGTTTTTCCCAGTCTGCAGGTGTTCCTCAAGGTAGTATCCTAGGTCCTATCCTTTACACAGTTTATACAGCTGATATCCCAACACTGTCGTCACCACATATGCTGATGACACATGTATTCTATCAGTTAATAACGACACATCTATTGCATCCCAAACCCTTCAATCCCACATCACAAACCTTGAAGAATGGTGTCAGAACCGGAGAATTAAAATAAATTCCAATAAATCCCATCAAATTACCTTCACCCTTCGTCGTAAACCAATGACTTCCTGTCCTTCAGTATCCTTTAACAACACCTCACTTATTCCTGTTGAACAAATCCGTTACCTAGGACTCTATCTGGACAAATGTCTAATTAGGAATCCTCATATCAGACTGAAACGACAAGAAACAGCTCGACGTTTCCGACTACTTCAACACTTACTAGACAAACGCTCTAACCTTCCAATCAATTATAAAAGACTCATTTACATGACTATAATAAGACCTATTTGGACTCACTGAGTTGAGCTATGGGGCTCCACCAAACCTTCAAATTCCTCTCGCATACAATCCTTACAATCCAAAATCCTTCGTAAAATCCTCAATGCTCCTTACTTTTTTACAAATAAAATTATCCATAATGACGTTAATGTTCCTTATGTATCAGATTTGACCCAATCCAGATATCTGTCCTTCCATAATAAACTTCATAACCATCCCAACCCTCTTGTCACTAACCTTGCTTCCTATTCGATTCCTGATAACCCTCCGAGGCGTCTGAAAAGAAGATGGCTACGTGATCTTCTAATATAGACATATTATTAGAGTGCTACCAATGGGTAGTTTCTCAACATGTGTTCCATGTCATTATATCCATGTGCGAATTTACCAAATGTATTTTTTTATACAGTTGTAAATATCATATAAATAAATAAATTTTTTTTTTTTTATAAATAAAATGTGTGTTTAGAAAATTGGATTTATTAAAATACATCCCAGATCATAAAAAATCAAGAAATAAAAGCTATTCAACAATTAATTTTAATCATTTTTGCTGAAAACAGGGTTACTTTTACTTGACAGGATAAAAACTACCATAATGTCAAGGTATTTTGCAGAGCATACAGTTACCAGAAGGCCTCGACAGAGCGTGTTTAAGTAGAGAGGTAATATGACTCAGAGGATGAAGGAAGATGAGTAGAAGGATGGCCTAAAGTGTCAGGTGGATCAGCAACCAAATCAGTCTTGGTCTGCTTTGTAAGGGATCAACCTTAACATTCCGCTGGAATGGTAACCACTGACGGAGGGATCAATTACCAGACTTTGTGAGAGGATGAAATACTAATGGAGGTATCATTCTCCTGACTTAGTATGTGGGAATACAGGCGGACGAATCACCATCCAGACTCCTATGGAGTAAAAGAGTAGGATAAAATGTTTTTGGACATAGTGAAATAAGAAGGCAGATTAATGAGAACAAAAAGCGTATATGAGACGTTTACCAATCATCTGCGTATAGGTCTACACCCTGAATGGCGGAGACTGAGAACCTGATAACTTTGTGAAAAGACTGCGGGAAATCGTTCTGCTATGACTAAATTGGATATCAAGAGTCTTTACAATTACAGTTATTTTTAAGCTTTGATCAGTATATGTTATCATACATTATTAATAAAGTTAAGTATAGTACATTAAACTTTATTAATGAAAAGTATTTACAATGTATATATATTAATATATATATATTCTTTTTATAAGTTAACGATGGGATCCTATTCAAAGTTTTAAAATTAGATCTTCGATCAGGCCAGGGACACGCCATATATATATATATATATATGGACTGGGGTAACCGTACGGGCTAATGCGCTTGCAATAGGTAATCAAAGTTAAGCAACGTCGAGCCTGGTTAGTACTTGGATGGGTGACCACAACTCACACCGACCGGGCGTAGGACTAATGACCCTACCTTTTTCTTAAATCGGGAAGCTTAAGATGTGGTTTACCAGGATGTTAATAGGCCCCCTGAGATTCGGTCCATGGACGGTCTGTTTCGGGGAAAGAAATATAGGTCCTCGTGCGCCTGCTGACTCAGAGCTGCCATAATCTATGGATCTAGACTGATTTGTCACTGTCCTGAACCCGAGAGAGTCGGTGTGAGGGGCACTGGCAGATTGGCCCCAAAGGGATCGGCTATGGAGCTACGATTGGCCTGCCGCTGCACTATGGACACCATGGTTCGTAGCAACGTGGGGTTGTGTGACCCCCTCCAGGCTATCTGAGTTCCCGCAAATGACTACCGCTGTAAGGAGACTACATCTCGCGACCAAAGATCTTCATGGTCTTTAGTGCCAATCGGAAAAAAAAATACATATATATATACATATATATATATATTTAAATTAACAATTTGAGTATTTTACTATACAACTTACTTACTTATTTCCGGTGTTCCAACGTGGGATACCTCTTCAGGTCAGAGCCGAACTCCACACATCTCTATCCTCCCAGTCCCTCTGTAGACTCTCTCTATCCTCTTGTAGACCTCGCCGGCCATCTCCTCTCGGTCTCCTACCATCTTCATCGTTCCCGGTCGTCCTCGCCTACGCTTTCCGAGTGGCTGCCAGTCCAGGACTCTGTTCGGCCAATGCTCTTCCGGCATTCTCCTGCAGTGCCCATACCATCTATACAATAATAATAATAATACAATAATATTACTATACAATAATAAGAAATAAAAATACATCTTTTATGTACATTTCACGAGCGAGCTTGTGAGGCGCTGCCAGGTAGTGGACAGGTGAACTATTTGTCCCTTGTAGCAAGATGCGGGCGTGAATCTGCCGCCACAATAATTTTTTTAAAAACTTGTGTTGAATCTCAAATTTTTCCTTAATAAACTCAGCTTAATTAAAACGAACTTAAAGCTTATTAAACGAAGAAGTTTTTGTAAAAGTGAAGTAACAATAATATAGTTGGCTGATGATACAAAAAATGGCCAATAATTTATGATTTTTCTAAAAACAGAACTTAGCTTAGTTTAGTCGCCCCAAAGTCCTCTGTAAATGATTTTAACAATATTAAACTCTAAATTCCTTTAAAGTAAATTTTATCTTGTTTACAATAAAGCAGTTATTGATTAATTAAATTAAATGTTTCTTGAGTTTTTGCTTTCAATTCAATAAAAAACATAACTCACTTAAAAAAACACAAAACTTGGATATCCTACTTTTTTGCTGAAAATTGGCCCATTCAGGTCTGTTGTCAATCCTATTAAAAATTCCCTCTACTTAT